TTAGCAACTTGAGGGGCTGTCCTCTTATTCCTATTCGTTCTAATTTGTGTACAAAAATGGGGAAAGAGACGGTGTCAAATGCGTTTTTTAAATCTAGAAATATGGCGAGACATTTGTTGCCCTTGTCCACGTAGTTAGTAATTGTGGTTGTAAGCTTTAGAATGGCGTCCTCAGTAGATCTACCCTGGCGAAAGCCATACTGAGAGTCCGAAAGAATGTTAAATTTATTTAGATAACCTATCAATTTCTTATTAATTATTTTTTCCATGATTTTAGATACTACTGGCAGAACTGAGACAGGCCTATAGTTATTGGGCATGTCTCTCTCACGACTCTTATACACTAGCGTTACAATGGATATCTTTAATGGTACAGGGAAGACACCTTCAGAGAAACAGAGATTGATCAAGTGACTAATTACAGGGGACACATAGGCTCTAACAATTTTTAGGTACTTGTCAGGGATGTTGTCATATCCAGGTGCACTGTCTGATTTCAGGCACATGATAGTGTTATGTAGTTGAAGATCAGTATCTAGCAAAGCAAAAAAAAAGGACTATACAGGGTCAGCTTGGTCCTCGTAGTGTCCAGTCATGGGTGTTGGATTATTTAGGATATCTTCAGCCAGAGTTCTACCAATTCCAGCAAAGAACGTATTTACATGATTAACAGAGTTGCTTGGGGATTGTTGTACGCTTAGCAGCTCGAGGTTATCTGTTTTTGTTGATGTATAATGAGTTATTGATTTTATTGTTTTCCAAAGTGACCTAGGGTCTTTTTTGATACAGATAAAAGTTCTCTTTCATATATTCGTTTCAGTTTCTTTATTAAATTGTTACAAAACTTACGATATCGCTTAAATGTGACTTTCAGGATCTCGTCGTGTGTATTAGCTCGAGCCTTAAGTTGAAGTTTGTTACGGTTTCTAATGCAGCGAAGGATTCCAGGGGTAATCCACGGCTTAATAGTGCGTTTACTTTTTGGAATGGATTTAATAACTTTGCTATCCTCAAGAGACTGCTTTAGCTTACCTACAAGTTAACTGTTCGATAATAAAATAAGGGTCGTCACTAAAAAGGAGAGTTTCGATGTGCTTGTTCTTAAGACTTTTTATAGCTTGATCGTAGTCAAAACTTACAATTTGTTTTGGCACTGTACGGGTAAATTTATTATTTGTGAGGGCCAAAAATATGGTGTTTTGGTCTGTAATAGACTTATTGAGGACAGCAGTATACGCAGATGCTTTGTTGTTATCCAGTTTTAGCATAAAATGATCTAAGCAGTTGGCCTCGTCTGGTAGGTAAGGTGTGACCAGGTAAGATACTGTAGGTAGATAGCATATTAAGATAATGCTGTCTATTTGAGGTTACGTGTAATGGTTCTTGTTCGCGTGGAATGAGGTTAATGTTGAGGTCGCCCGTAATTATTATATTGTTACAAGATATGATGGTGTCCACTTTATTCAGCAACATTATCAGTTTTAGTATTACACAACGCTGTCATTTACCAAAACTTTGCCACGTAATACATTAAAAATAAAAATTGTGATGGAAATTAAGCTCACCAACCGGGAAAGACCATCACATATTTCTAAGCTCATTTTCATTTGACAGTTTTTATTGATCTTCAACTCTGAAGTCAAAGTCATACCACATTAAATAAATGGCTAGTTCACGTTAAAAGGATAAAGTAACACAACCTTAGTTCCAGTTCCGTACAAAATCCAATATTTAAAGTATTCAGTATCTAGAATTACAAATTACCTACCTACGAAATACTTCTTTTAGTATCACTTGATGGCGACGGCGATAGCGACTGCACAATCAGAAAACTGATTAAAGATAAAACAAAACTGTTTTTTGAGATGGTATGTAGTTATTAGAATTATAGTACCCGGTGGCAAATACCAAATCACAACCTTCCAATAAGTCGTGCACGCAGCCTAATACACACGTTCAGCCTTATAGAGTACATTCTCTACCGCATAGGATCTAATAAACAACGGTATGAATATGGCTTCTTAGACACAAACGAAGATAGCTGTACATTTTCTACGTCCGCAGTCGACATGATATGAAAGTTTCTCAAATTATATGGAACGCATTTTAATATAATTTTATAATAATATCATATTAAAATCAATATAAAGTAATTAACCTACTTCAAAAAAATGAGTTTCTTTGGATATATGTTATGCGATCACTCCGGCCTTTGTGAACCGATATTGATAATTCGTTTTCTGTTGGAAAGAGGGTACCTCAGTGTTGGTCCCATTTAAATTTGAAAAAAAAGTCCACCTCTAAGGATGGCAAACTAACTAACTATAAAAGCCGGTTTTGCGCACTTTCCGGTAACCGATTTCAATAAAACTTGGCAAATAGATGTAATTCCAAGCACTTTTGAGGTCGGTTTTTTATAATATAAAGAAAGTATTCATAGTGGAAATATGCGATAGTTACGAAAATGTACGTTCTGTATGAATGTTCAATTCATTACAAGACTGATTTCAATCACGTTGCGTCAAAATGTTATTTAAGCAAATATTATAATTGATTAGTGGTATTCCAGGGTCACCATAGCCGAGTACAACGTTTTTGTAATTATAGCAAAAATGTTAATATCCGCGCAGGATTAATCTTGTTACCGCACCACTGTTCTTCAATGGCTAGAACGACAGCATTTATCGTCGCTATTTTCATTACACGCTTATTAATTTTTAAAAATACAACCTATTTATTTCTAGATAACCCAAATAAGGCACGAGCACGACCTTACCGTAAATCCTGTTTAATTTTATTGTACTCTAACAATCACAGCGCGATAAATAAATACATTATAAAATTTATCCATAAAATAATACATTAACCCAAAACGCCCGGCCCGTCGCAACCAATTTATTGGCCTTTACGTGTGTAATTGACGTTATCGACACGCACCACGATAAATAACTACGATATAATTTCAAGTATTTTTAACTTATCTGCGATATGAATTTATATAATTATCTCTATACAGTGAGACGAGATATCACAAACAAATATAAACGATATTATACACAATAAAATAACATTTAAGGTAGCCAAGTCCCGTGAGACGTCACGAAGCCACAATGCGTTAAATTTTCACAAATGTAGACTACAGTTCAGAACCGGGCATTTCTGGTTTCTAAAATAACGAGTTCCCGGTTCTTTTATTGTAATGAAAGAACCGAGATTTCAAAAGTGCTTCCCGATTATATTGATACTTCCAGGTATCAACGTCAATAGCGTTTTATTTACACGCTGTAGGGAAAGTTGAAGCTTTCTCGCGATCAAAACTAAACGACGGTAGATGCGAGCGAGAGAGAGAGTAAATATCTTAGTACGGTATGACTGTGAGAATCAAGATGGCCCTTTTTGAGAACGGACGGAAGAGATCGTGAGCATTATTTGTCTCAGGCATATGGCAATCTCTTCACGCTTTCACCGACTAGTGTCAAACTGAAAGTTTTATCAAGTTTTATTCTCAGCTGGTTTGATATGTAACAAAATCAGGTCTTGTTTAAGTGATTGAAGTCTAGGCGCGTTTTTATTTTTAACCGACTTCAAAAAGGGAGGAGATTTTCTATTAGACTGTATGTTTATTTTGTGTGTATGTTACGCGACTCCGTTTTTT